CCCTACGCGAATTAAGCAAACGTATACAACATCAACCTCTTCACAGATTAAGCAATTGTGGCTTTGGAGCACAACCCATTTAGCATGGACACAGAGGTTAAATGGAGAAGAACAAAGCAGAACAGAGACATACGAACATACCCAACCTCAAACAAAGATTACAATCCACAACAAGAAGCCAACCCAGGGGTTTTTAGCCTTCCATTAAAACGTAAAATGCAAGGCAGAGAAGAGAAAATGAAAATGCAAGGCAGAGAAGAGAAAATGAAAAATAACCCAACAGAAAGCAACAAAAACGTTAATAACAATGGAGTTCAGAAGTTCAAAAGGAAGCAAAACGTAAAATAAACAGAAATGGAGAGCCCCCAAAATGTGAACTGTAGCTACAGAGAAATAAAACATGAATGAATGAGAGAGGACGCTACTGTTCACGTAGTCACATCTGATTGCTCATGTTAGTGGCTGGCCAGTCAGCCCCAACCCAGACCTAAATGAGCAAAAATGAATTGGGCCCAATAAAATACAAGTCTGACCCAATAAACTACAATAAAATAAATGTTGAGGTGGAAAATGGTGCAGCAGTGACATGGCAGATGACGTGGCAGATGACATGGCAGATGACGTGGCAGCTCCACTTGAAGTCTAGAAATTAATTTCAAGCCCAGATAATTATTAAACTGCCCTGAAAATAAAAATTTGGAATAATTAGATTCAGAAAATTCAAATTAGTTAAAATATGAATTACCGGTCCAATTAAAGCCCAAATAGAAAATAGTGCAGAATATCAACAATTAAGCACAAATCGGAGATTAAAATAAGTACAGAAAGGTAAGAAAATAAGGGAAAATATTGACTCATCATCTAGTTTCATTGAACCCCTGTAGTTGACCCATGTAAATCTACTCCTCTGAATTATTGTGTAGAAAAGCTATCTTCACATCCATATGTTCCAAATGCATATCACGTTGGCTACCAAGGCTAATACTACCTCGATAGAAGTATGTCTCGCGACTGAAGAGAAAATAACATCATAGTCAATCCCCTTCGATTGTGCATAACCTTTTGTTAAAAGACGAGTCTTGAACTTTTCCCCTTCCTTTTCTGATACTAAAGGCTTCCTTTTGTACATCCATTTGCATCCAATGATTCGTTTGCCCTTAGAAGTTCAACTAACTCCTATGGTTGGTTCTTATGCAAAGACTTTATCTCCTCCATCATGACACTCATCCATCTATCCTTTTCTTGAATTTTTATAGGCTCTTGAAAGTTAGATGTATCTCCTAAATTGGTGAGAAGTGCAAAAGAAATCATAGCTTCAAACCCATACCTGGTGGGTGGCTTAATTGTACGATGTCCCCTATCTTTAACAAATGTGTATTATTGTTATTCTCTAGAACTATTAGGGTCAAGTGCTAGTGTATGTTTAGGTGTTGGATAACAATTTTCTTCCCTCCCAAAAATAACTAGCAATTGCTTAACTTCCACCTAAACCACCTCAAAGTTGGGGGTAGCTTTGGCTATCATAAGAATTGGCGCATTAGTCTAAACTATCTATTTTATATGAATTTTTCATCAAATAATGCATCTCTACTGATCACCATCTTGTTTAAAGTTGGATCTCAAAACTTGAACCCCTTCAAAGCATAACATACAAAAATGCACTTTTCAACTTTGGATCAAGTTTACATCTCTCACTACTAGATACATGCACAAAAGTAGGACACCCAAAAATTCTCAAATTGTCAAAATCAACTAGGTTACCTATTCATACATCTTCTGTAACTTTGCAATCTAATTAAGCTCATGGTGATCGATTGAGTAGATAACATGTCATGTTAACTGCCTCTGCCCAAAAATCCTTTGAGAGTCCAACATTTGGCCTTAAACATCTAACCCTTTCAATGAGAGACCTATTTGTCCTCTCTACAACACCATTTTGTTGTGGTGTCTTATGCACTAAAAATATCTCTAAATGCCTTGTTCCTAACATAATTTTTTAAAATATGAATCTATGTGCTTTGTGCTATTTTCAGATCTCAAATACTTAATTTTTCTTCCGTTTGGTTCTCCACCTCAGTTTTTCACAACTTGTACTTGTCAAATACCTCAAATTTTTGCTTGAGGAAATACACCAAGATCTTGCAAGAAAAATTGTTAATAAAAGTGACAAAGTTTAAAACCAACCAATGATGGATCTTTAGCAAGCCCCCATATATTAGTAAGCACATAATCTAGAATTCCCTTGGTTGTGTGTTTTGGAGCTTTGAAATGAATTCTAGATCGTCTCCTAAGTACATAATACTTGCATAGATCTAACTTGTAGGTCTTAACTCCTTTTTAAGAGGCCCATCTTATGAAGTTTTATCATCCCACGCTCACAACATTAACCCAAACGCATATGCCATAATTTTATGCCATCATCATCTAACTCGACAAAAGCAACTCCACCTTCATTTGTACTTCCCAATAGTTTATAAATATTGCCCAAAGTTTGTTGTCCTTTCATCACGGTTAAGGCTCCCTTGCACACTCTGAGGATATCCCAATTTCTATCTATCCTATAGCTAAAATCATTTGCTTGCAAGGTACACCAAGCAAGATCAAATTCTTCCTCAAGTCATGCATGTACCTTACATCACACAACGTTCTCATGCCACCATCATCCATATAGAAATTTTAACCTGTCTCATTCCAACAATAGCTCAAGATTTATCATTAGATAGATGTTTTTTGGGAGATGTCCAAAACGTAAAACTATGAGAGTTTAGACCCAAAATAAACAATATATCTTATCATTATGGAAGTGTGTATGTGTGTGTGAAATCCCTTGATGCACAATTATGTCAAGTCTTTTTAGACCCAACTCAACTAGGGTTGATCTAGTAGTAAAAGGTTAGAGTAAAATATATAGAATTTTAGATTTGAATTATAATATTATCATTGTAATTCCGATAAATAAAAAAAGAACTCAAATCAAATAGTATTTCACTTTTCTCTCTAGACAAATAACTAAAGCATTCTTTGAATCAAAGTATATATCTTCAAGCTTCTATAAAAATCAGTTAGATAAAGGTAAGAATAAAACTAACTTAAGATCAACGTCTTATCAAAAGGATATGGAATGAAGTTCACGTGTTTCTTGCTAGGAATACATTTCTTGTATAGAGATTTTTACAAAGTTAAAGAATCACTTTCGAATCTTTATCAACATTTCCTATTTCATGGAGATAGGCCACATGAAAGAGAAATATATTCTTTGCATATCAACATCGCCTGGTGGTAAGTCGAATTATTTTGTCTGTTGATAAAATTTTTTATCAAATATTAAGCTTTGTTAATTTGTTACAATTAAATCAGTTGAAAAGAACCTAGTCATCCTTTAACTTACCAATGTATATTTTCCCAAACAACCCAATATATTTTAACTTATATCCTCTCCCTTTCCTTAATTTTTTTTTTTTAAGATTCAAGAAGAAAACTTTCTTTTGGAGTCTTTGAAAAAAGAAAGAAAATAAATAAGCAACATATAGATAGACACCACAAAAATAAACCCTTTAGTGACAAATTAATTTACATATTATTTTAAAAAAATCAATTAAATTTTATTAACGCTAGTATTAGTCACAAAAAAGTATTTTTTGTTACTAAATTTTATTATTGATACATTAATTTCTTTTAATGAGAATATTAATAAGAAGAACAAGGTGACTACGAAGGATAATTTTTTAGTTTTCCATGAGAATAGCATCAACGTTAAATTTTAAATATTTGGTGACAAAAGTGACTTCCCTTCCTTAAAATTAACTCCCAACAAGTGATAGATTATCACAAAAATTTAACACAACCTCAAATAATTAATTCTAGTATAACTTTATAACCCCAAATGTTTTTGTTATTTGTTACACCTACAATTAGCAATTGTCATAAACATATACTGTATCTGCGTAATCTTTTTAACGTTTGTGCCATAATCTTATACTCCTAAATATATTTGCTATAATTATTTTTGTTCATCATACTGCCTATCACCTTATTTGGATTTGAACTCTTTGCCTGCCATTCATAAATGCAAATACAAACTGTTAAAGAAAATTTGTTGAAAGAAATGTTGTTCTCATCATAGTCATGGTTACATAACTTGCATGGACATTTTAACTATTCATTCTCTCAATCGTGCTCTAACCTAAGTCTTTGCCTATTATTTCTAGGGGCCCTTGCAAATGTGGTATTATGGATAAGAACTACTTGATTCACTGTTTATGATTGCTGGTTTATTTTATATAGTGTTGGTGGGTTACGCTTTTTGGAGTCAGAGAGGATTTATGATTATTACTCTTTTGTAATTATTTTTCTCTTGTAATACCCTTATTCTCTTTCTTAATATACCTTTATTCCTGTTCACACAAAAAAAATGTGTGTTTTCTAAAGGAATTTTACAACTCATCATCTTTCCATTTTAGGAGAAACTCTATCATCTCCATCATGTAGCTTTCTTATTAACAGTGTATCATTTTTTTATTTTTTTCTTCAAAATCCACTTTAAACATATACTTTTTTTTCTCAACTTTTCCCTCTTTCATAATCTAGTTAGCAATCATAATTGATGTCATAAGAAATTAGCCTGTTCTCAACAAATCCTGGGAATATAAAATTATTGAATTCACCACTCTTTTTAACGTTAAATCCAAAAGCTTAGCCATAATCTTATACATAATCTATGAGAGAAAGTATGTAATTTTTGATCTTTTGATGGTATTTTTTTTGGAATTGGAAACATAAATGGGGTTATTAGAGTTTTCATCATCCTCTATTTATAAAATTTATTTCTGAAAAGAAGTTGAATTAAACTAATTGGAAAATTTCGATTCACTTTATTTATTTTATTTGTTTTGTTCTCTTACGAGTGTTTGTTAAAATGTCATCCAAACTATTAGCTACAAGATAAATGAAAAATCGGAAAGATAATTATAGATAAAAATATAATTGAGTAAAATAGAATGGAGAAAAATCAAACAACATTTACTTGCCTTGCAAACTCAAAGTACAAGTTCTTATTACATGCACGACCCATACACAATTAAATAAGAAACACTAAAAATGCCCAAAATCAAATTATAAGAAACATTTATGAACTAGCAACAAACAACACACAAAAGAACTACACAAGTACAAACCGTGGCAAAACATAAAACTAATTGATGGGTATCTGTACAGTCTCATCCAAAATAGACATCTCTATAGATTTCTTATCATTTATCACATTGCATTTTGCACGAATTTCACCTTGATTTCCCGTCAACACATCCAATTGGCTCATCCTTATAAACCCATCCCCAAATTTCTCAAAGAATAAGGTTTGATTGAGTGCAAAAGCCTCTACGAGTCCCTTTGTCCTCTTATCTAAGAACAAGTCTTGGTCAGAGGTGGACAAACCTTGGTGGTTCATTAAGTTAATGTAGTATTTGTTATCAAACACTTTAGGGGTTCTAATGTCCAAATGAAAAGTGTTACGTGAGTATGTACTTGGGCAAGTTGAGTTGAGGATTTTGGCTAAGGTTTTGTCCATGTTTGGGTCTAGAGGAGAAAGTCTATTGTAGAATGTGTGACAATGTGCACGACCAATAGTGTGTGCACCTGATAAAGCAACCACATCTATGACATCAAAGTTTTTGGAAGCAAATGTCTCAAGTATCACATTAGAGATGTTGTAGGGTAATGGAAGATTGCTTGCTTCTTCAAAGCTAAAGTTTAGACTATCTCGTCTTCCTAGTGGCACACCATAATCGGGCCCTCCGGACTGTTCAAAATTGAAACATAAAAATCATAAAACGAAAAAGGAAAATATATATAATTACAAAATAATTATGTTCATAGTAAAACATTTGAGTTAAATTTTTCCAGTTTAATTATATAATTTTATCTTACACTATGGTTACCAAAGTCATTTAGGTTGTTTTATAAGCTAAAAAGAATTATTAAATATTGAGCACAAGGATATCCGGTTGAAATATGTTATATAAATGTGCTCTAATGATGAAGATGTTGTGTTCTTCGTGTTTTAAACTTTTATTAAGTACATGGTGCTATATATTAACACTAGCCACGAGGATAAATCATAAATTCAAATAAAAGGAGTATCATCGTTTCATTTGTTTAATTGAATTAATTTGTATTTGTTAATATATGTTGTATCAACATTTTCATTCTGACTCACAAATTTGTTTTCTTCTATCATATGTAATAATGTATATAATTGTCTCTATTAATTTTCTAATGCAATGGCACGTGAGATGAATATGCATGTCAGTATAAGCACAAAACGTACGTCACTTTTAGGCGTTGAAATAATCATAACATGACGACGTGATATTTAGTTGTACGAATCTTATGTCTTAATGAACTAACTACATATTAAATCTTATTTTTCGATTGAAATAAATCTCAAAATCTTAAAAAAATATATATATAACTCAAAACTAAAACAAATTATATCAGATGACAAAGAAAGAAATGGAAAATCACCGTCAGATTAGACCAAAAAACAAGACGAACTGTTTTGAAGCTTTCATATAGTTTTAAAAATAAAATACAAGAGACCACCTGTACATATAGTTTCCATTATTTTATTTTATGCAAAATTTTGTTACATTAAATATTTGACAATGTATATAATATTATTATTTTATTTTAAATACTTTTTATCTTGTTATATAGGTTTATAAACATAAATAAAATAAAATAAAATAAAATAAAACAATAATAACATTTAATACTCAATTTCTATCAGATGAGAAGAATCACCTATTAAATATAAAGTAAAACAGACCTTATTTAGTAATTAATTTGCTTTCTCTACGCTACTACAGATATAGAAATGTTTAATCATTTTATTGCTCAGATGGAACTGGAGGATGTTCCTTTGGCGAGTCGTAAATATACATGGTATAAACCAAATGGGAGGGTTAAAAGCAGAATTGACCGAGTATTGATTTTACTATGGTGGTTGGAAAGGTGTGGCTGGGAGTTGCTTAGTTAGTCCTTAACCGGGGAATATCAGATCATTGTCCTATTTTAATGAGGAACCTGGAGATAGATTGGGGGCCTACATGGAGATTCTTTAATTTTTGGTTAAATGGCTCAGAGTGTAGAGAATTAGTGTCAAGGACCTGGGCTAATACAGAAGTGGTTGGCTGGGTAGCGTTTATTGTTAATGAGAAGTTGAAAGCCATAAAATGCCAAGTGAAGAGTTGGTGGGGAGGTAAAAATACCTCCATACAAACTACTACTAATGTTATGGAGGAGATGAATGCAATTGACCTCATAGAGGAAAGTAGAATCCTATCAGAGGAGGAACTACAGAGGAGGATTCACTTACAACAAGCATATTGGGAAGTGGCACTTAAAGAGGAGTCTCAATTGGCTCAAAAGGCGCGGGTCAGGTGGATGCACTTGGGTGATATAAACTCAAAGTATTTTCACCATGTCATAAATTTGAATAGGAAGAGGAATTACCTGCCTGGTCTTCTTATTGATAATCAGTGGGAGGAAGAACCTACCATAGTCAAAGAACACATTAAATCTTTCTATCAAGAAAGGTTTAGTGACTCATAGGCCAAGCTTGGATGGGGTCAGATTCCAACAGTTAAACGCTCAGCAATTAGAGCTGTTGTCCATGCCATTCGAGGAAGATGAAATAAAGAGGGAAGTTTGGGCGTGTGGGAGTGATAGGTGCCCAGGCCTAGACGGCATAAACTTCAAGTTTATCAAGGAATTTTGGGACATTATGAAAAGGGGCTTGGTGCTTTTTGTCCAATAGTTCCATGATAATAGCAAATTACCTTGAGGGACCAACTCCTCGTTTATTTCTCTGATTCCTAAGGTTGATACACCACAAAGTCTGAATGAGTATATGCCTATTTCTTTGATAGGTTGTTTGTATAAGATACTCGCAAAGATTATTCTAGCACTTAGATTCAAGGTAGTGCTTCCTTATTTAGTCGATCAAAGGCAGATGGGCTTTGTCGAAGGGGGATTATTACAAGGCGCTATGGTTCTTAATGAGATGCTTGATGAGGTTAAGCGGAGAAAGAAATCATGCATGTACTTCAAGGTTGATTTTGAGAAGGTGTATGATTCAGTTTCATGGAGCTTTGTGTTATATATGCAAAGGCGCTTTGGGTTTCAAGATAAGTGGATAAGTTAGATTGGTGAGTGCTTAAGAACCTCTTCCATGTCAATTCTGGTTAATGGAAGCCCTACAATTGAATTTTCCATGCAAAAAGGGATTAGGCATGGGGACCTGCTAACCCCTTTCCTGTTTGTTTTGGTTGTAGAGGGACTTACTAGTCTGGTTAAAGAAGCTTCAAATTCATATTTGTTCAGAGGTATTAAAGTGGGATTGAAAGGCGAATTAGTTAACATCCTCCAATATGTAGATGATACAATCTTTGTGGGAGAAGCTTCAGTGGAAAATGTGAGGACCTTGAAGATAATCTTGCAGGGTTTTGAATTAGTAAGTGGTCTTAAAGTTAACTTTTACAAGAGTTGTTTAGGAGCTATTGGCGTGGGGAGAGAGACCTTAATTTCCTTTGCAGAGATATTACATTGCAAGTTGTCCAACATTCTGTTAGTATATCTGGGCATACCTATTGGGGCCAACCCAAGAAGAAGTAAAACTTGGTAGTCTGTGGTCTCGAGCTTTAAAAAAAGTTGTCATCTTGGAGAGCATCGACATTGTCCATGGCGGGAAGGATTTGCTTGATAAATTCGATGCTGACCTCCTTGTCGTTATACATTATGTCATTCTATAAAATTCCCAAGATGCTGACCAAGCAACTCACATCTATTCAGCGCAACTTCCTATGGGGTGGTAAGCTGGATGAGAAGAGAATGGCATGGGTATCTTGGGAGAAAATTTGTCGGCCTAAGAAGGAAGGGGGTCTAGGAATTAAAAAGTTGGGTGCTTTTAATGAGGCGCTATAAGCTAAGTGGCGTTGGGGACTCTTTCAGCAACCAGAGTCAATGTGGGACAGAATTCTATTATCTAAGTACGATGATAGCATCATGCACAATACTCGAATGAGAGGAAGCTCAGATTCTATGTGGTGGGGGGATGTAGAAGGCTTCGGGTGAGGACACCAGTGACTCTTGGTTTATGAATTCATTGTCATGGAGGTTGGGGATGGGTGACCGAATCCGATTCTAGTCTTATACATGGGCAGAGACAGAGCCTCTAGCGAATAGATTCCCAAGGATTTTCTCGAATTCATTGCAAAAGTCAAACATGGTGGCGGACATTGGAGTAGAGGAAGGTGGCAATGGAGATTTCAGTGGAGAAGAGCTTGGTTCACTTGGGAATTAAACAATGTGCAACAGTTCATGAATATAGTGGAGGCAGGGGTACTAAGAGAGGGTGTACAAGACTCAAGGCTTTGGACACTGGATAGCTCAGGATGCTTCTCAGTAAGATCTGGGTATCAGGCTTTGATGGACCGTGGCTCCTCATCACATTTGCCAAATGTTGCTGCGGTAGCTTGGGATATAAAAGTTCCACCCAAAGTTAAATGCTTCATTTGGAGGTTGTTCATGGGTGCTTTGCCTACAAAGGAAAACTTGTTGAGGAGAAATGTGATAGTCTCGAGGGATCAAGCAATTTTCCCCTTCTGCAATGTGGATATCGAGTCGGCATAACACATATTTTTATATTGCAGCGACATTGACCCGATCTGGAAAAAATGGTTGTTGTGGTTGGATACCCTGACTCCTTTATCTAGTTTATTTGAAGGCAACTTCTTTGCTCATCCAAGTATACTATTGTCTAAAAAGAGGGTTGACCAAAATGGCATGTTATATGGACTGCAATATTATGGTGCATCTGGAGAGCTAGGAACAAATGTGTGTTCGAAGGAGAGCACTTCGACGGGAACCGTTTACTGCAGCAAACTGTGTTATACTCATGGTCTTGGCTTACCACTTTTAATAAGTCGTTCAACTATTCATTCAGTCAATCGGAAGCTAATCCTAGACTTTGTATCATTTCCTAAGATCTTTGATGGGGTTTTGAGGAGTCTTTATAGTATATTTTGGACCTCTTAGTTGGAGGCTAATTTGTAATTTAAATTAGACTCAACTTTGTTATGTCCTCCGCATGCAAACATGTATTCGAGATTAGTATCTCTTGTACCATTTCATTATATATAAAATATTTCTTTGCTGTTCAAAACAAAAAACATAGCGATAACATTTTTCCCATAATTTTGACACTTTTAATGATTGACACATATAGCTCCTTAGTATGTCAGAAACCAATCAAGAACTTGTTATTTTAAGCAATTGAAAATTTTGGATAATTCTATACCATACACTAGTACAAAAATGACTTTTAAAATCAGGGTTTTAAAATCGGTCATAAGGTAGCCGATTTTAAAAGTGACGCAGTGGCAATTTTGTAAATAATGGCATTACTTTTAAAATCGACTACGTTATGACCGATTTTAAAAGTCTCTGACGCTACTTTTAAAATCGGCTCTTGAACAACCGATTTTAAAAGTGGGACTTTTAAAATCGGCTTTTCAAGAGCCGATTTTAAAAGTCTAGTTTTATAATCGGCTCTTAAGAGCCGATTTTAAAAGTCTATTTTTAAAATTGGCTATCAAATAGCTGATTTTAAAAGTATCACTTTTAAAATTGGTTATTGAACAACCGATTTTAAAAGTAGCATCAGAGACTTAATCTATACTATCTCCGCTCACATTCTCCCCCTAGCTCCATTCTCTACTCTTTGCTTCAATAGTTCATATATTCTTCTCTTTACTCTCTCGGACTCTCATCTGAAGTGTGCACCTTGTCATTTTCTCCGAAGAATACAACATCAAGGTAACATTCTCTTCTCATGTCTCTTATTTCGTTGTTGTTGGGCGAATTTGAGTCTGGAACAGCCCTAGAATGGCCCGTTCTACAAGCAGAACGGCGTGTACTGCTTGCAATACGGCCCATTCTGCAAGCAGTACAGGTCGTCCTGCTTGTAGAACGGGTCGTTCTAGTGCCGTTCCAGACTAAAGTTTTAGACATTTTTCCAATTCCGGAACAGGCTATTCCAGTTTAGGAACGGCCTGTTCTAAAGTAGAAAAAACACTTTTAACATCGGTCACTGTTGACCAATTTTAAAAGTGGGACTTTTAACATCGGTCACTAATGACCGATTTTAAAAATCTCACTTTTAACATTGGTCAACGACCGATGCTAAAAGTCCCACTTTTTAAAATCGGCTCTTTCAAAATCGGTCAGAAAACCGATTTTAAAAGTAAAAAATGACCGATTTTAAAAATATTTTTTCTACTAGTGATAAAGTGAAAAATTTTAATCAGTAGTTACTAGTTAGTAAGAGCATCACCTTTCACTAAATAAAAAATATAGAAGAGCAGGATTATTATAGGAAACAGGAATATATATATATATAGAAAGAGAGAGAGAAAAGTAATAGTGATGATGAGAGATTAATTACTAGGAAAACAGCATCACGAGCAGCCAAGACAGTGATATCTGCGCAAGAAACGACCCTTCCACACTCCTTTTGGACAACTTCCCTTATATCATCAATGGTTTGCACTGCTTTATGGCTTATTCCACGGTTCAGTGGATTATCCCTTTCACCTGGATTCCCATCCAGCAGCAACGACCCATCACATCCCTATTTACATTTATCAACAAATTAATCCCCCATGCAAGGTAATTAGGGTTTAATTAATTACCCCGATAAAAAAAAATTAGAATAAATTACACAAATACTTCTAATAGGATTGTACACAACCTTTTTGTAATGTTTACCGAAACTTTTCTTACAAGAGGTAAGAGTGTAATATTTTTTAAACAAATTAAGGAGATTAATGTAGTATGGAAGGGTGTCGATCGGTATTATTAATTAAGAAAATTAGTTTGTAGGTGTTGTAGGTGCAATTAATATCATGAAGCCTTTGAAGGCGTACTGTTTAAGTAATTTGCTAAAAAAAAAAAAAAAGATTTTTTTCCCCTTTTCTCCTAGAAATTTTAACGAGATGAATTGAAATTGTAAAGTTTTATTAGTGGGTTTTAACGAGATGGTGGATTCTTTTATATGAATTGAATAGTATCTTCAATCGTGATTTCATGTTAGTTAAATATATATGTCAAAACTCTAACTTATCTTATTTATTTTAACCAGAATATCATTAAAGGTGGATTGTACTAAGTTACCTGAACAAAACAATCATGGAAGAAAATGACGAGTAAGGCTGGAGCTTGCCAATTAGCTCGCGTGAACACCTTCTTGAGATGGTTTCTCACAATGGTTTCAAGATTGGGACAGGTTTTGGAATAGAAAGAATATGATAGTCCATTCACTAATAGGGGCTTGGCTTGTGCCTGAGAGATAAGGGAAAATGAAGTAAATAGAATGGAAGAAATAAAGAGCAAAGAATATAAAGAACGACGAGAACTAGGCGTAGTCATTTTTCTTTGCCTTGAGTGTCATTTGAGTTTACATCTAGAGTAATTATTTATAGAAGTAGGGAGTTATGACTTATGAGATCCACGGCAATGACTTTTACATAATTTATTAATAATCGTAAAAAGATCGAGTTCCAAACATCAAATTTTAGAAAAAGAAAACTTTTTTTTTTCAATAAATATGGTTCTGTTATTAAAATTGAAAAACAATTTAAATGTTATGAATTTTTTATTTTTTTTCAATTGAGAAGTGTATTCATTCTCACCAAATCAGCTTTTATACGAAATGAATAATACTTTCGGCAGTGACTTTATGTCAAACTAAGGATCAAATTTTATCCTTAATTAAGAATTATAATTGTCGGACCACTTAAACTAAACACTTTAATTATGCAAAATTCTCTAAAATATCTTATTTATGAAATAATAAATTATTCAAATTAATTAAAAATTTAAAACATATTAAGATTAAAATAATGAGAAAAAAAGACTGTGTATTATTAGTGTAAACCAGCTTTATACTATCACTCAATTACAAACTTCCATACGTAGTGAATTTGTCGATATTTTAACCTTACAAAATTAGTTTGTAAGGTGAGTCTCATTTATATACTCTATTAAGATCTTATTCTTAGTTGATGTTGGATCTCCAACACACAACCCGACCGGACATTTCAAACATAAAATTTGTAGGACTGAACATTTGTGAATGATACAATAACAACCTGATAGCGGGTAGCTTAATACCCACTAATATTTACTATGATAGATTTTGATACTGCTAGTACTAGAAAATGAATTCGGAGACACTCGAAATACAGGGGTGCTCGAAATCCTAGATGATCGAAAAATGACAAAGAAGTTTCTAAAGAAGGCATATGAAGCTTAAAGAGAATCAAGAGATACGCGAAGACATTTTTCGTGAAACTCTCGAAATCCTCGAACCAGGAAGGATGCTGCTCAGGAAAAGGGCTCACAGCCTCGCAACCTCTCAAAGTACAAGCAGAATCAGGAAACATTCAAGTATAATTTTCGTTGGTAACTCGAAATCCCAAGAATGCGGACATACACGAATACACTTCATAACCTCTCAGAATGGAGAACTTAAAGGAGACACGATTTAGGAGCGGTTGAAGTAACATGGGATAAGTGTCAAAGGCTGTAGAACAGTTTGGGGAAGTTAATGAGCAGTTCCAAGAATTATCCAAAGACAGGCCCGGGAGTAGGCCACGATGTGGAAGTTTAGAACGATTATGCATTTTCGGGGCACGTCAGAAATAGTTACCTTTCCCGAATCTTTGTCTATAAATTAAACGAGCCATGCTCGTAGCAAAGGGTCAGAAATCTAATTCCCACAATACCTCACACGCACTCCGCAGCCTGCGCATAAGGCATATTGTGCATACGAGACAGCTTTGGGTACGATTTCTCGACCATCTTTCTTTTCTTTTTTTAGGAGTAGCGTAGCATAGCATAATCCAGCCTAGTGTAGTGTAGTCACTCTGAACATGTTTCGTTATCCTTACGAATTGTAATTCTTTTACCATTTAATGAAAGATATGATTTCTGCAGTCAATATACATGTCATCTGTTCGATTCACGTTAATTATTACATGCATGAATTTGATTGTACAATTAGCATAGATCTTATGATGTGCTGAAACAAGCATAGATCTTCTGATGTGCTAAAACTAGCATAGATCTTCTGACGTGCTCGAAACATGAGCATAGAGCTTATGATGTGCTAAAACCAGCATAGATCTTCTGAAGTGCTCAAATAACGAGCATAGATCTTCTGACGTGCTGAAACAACACCCTAATTTAACTCTATTTGTTGCTTGTACGATTTTATTTTTTTCACTGAAAGTCTTCGACTTTGTCATGTCACAAACACGCATAAATTGAAACGTGAACTCGTGCTAGTTCGAATAAAAAACAAACGAAATCCTCCACAAACAAATTGGCACGCCCGGTGGGACTCGTTTGGTGCACTTCATTGAACTAATTGAACTAGTTTTGTGTGTGTTTAATTTTTATGAGACTTAGAAGTGGGAGAACTATGTCTACATCCAGCAGAAGAGATGCGCTTAATGAAGAACAGGGTAATGGAGAAAATCGGAATACAAATCAAGAAAATGTGCCAAATGAGACCAGGGGGGCAATGTCTCCACCTCCTGTAAATATTCTGAACTCCGCGGGATTTTCGAATGCTTCACAAGAAATGGTGAACGCTACCCGCGAATACCCATGGGGGATGCCTCCGAATTGGAGAAGTACCCAGCCTATGAGCGTAAAAATGCCAATACCATATTCTGGGCACAATCCTCAAATGCAAATATCATCATATGGGTATAATGCAGCCCCAAATGGGATGGGCTTTATCATGCACGATCCTCACCAGCATGTTGGCACAAGCCAAGAAGGGTCGTTAGTTCGACAAAGTAATTACATACCCACGGGTATAAGCAGTGAAGCCATGATAGCCCTTCGACAACAAATGGATCATAGTAACCACGATATGGTAAATTTGTTGTCTACACAAATGCACAACATACTCACACCCTTATACGAGCTGATGAGCAAAATAGGTGATAAAATTAATGATAATCGGCTCTCGAGAGATACGAGTGCGAATTTGAATGGCCTTGAAAATCCAACCGTCAATGAGACGAATATTCGAGAGATTAGAAATCGTATCAATCTCAATCAAGGGGGATCTCTGAGAAATGTCGAGGAAAATTTCGATCATATAGTCGAGAGGGTACTGAATAGGCACGGATTTGAAACGGGGCGAAATGAGCACCCTTACTTTGTATCTGCCTTTCCTGACTATATTACCCAATCTGAGCTACCCAGGGGGATGAAAGTCCCGAAATTCTCGAAATACGCAGGATAGTTAGGTGAATCCACCGTAGAACACATAGCGAGATATCTAGTCGAGTGTGGAGACCTAGTGGGTAAAGAATATCTCAAAATGAAATATTTTCCAAGTTCACTAAGCAAACATGCTTTTACGTGGTTTACGACGTTGCCACCTAATTCGATTGTTACTTGGGCACAACTAGAAAGGAGTTTCCACGAAAACTTTTTTCGAGAGGAAACCAAGGTGAGCATAGTTGATCTGATGAATATAAAGAGGCAACATCATGAGACATTGGACAAATATTTGAACAGATTTAGGCAATTAAAGTCTCGATGTTACACGAATATTCCAGAGCATGAGTTGGTAAAAATTGCAGCCACTGGTTTGGAATTTTTGATTCAAAAGAAACTTGTGAATGAACAATTGAGAGATATGGCTCAACTAGCAGAGAAAGTGAGACGAATTGAACAAATTCGAGCAGAGAAAGAAAGGTTGAGAAAATTTGACAAGTTCGTTCGAAAAGAAAAAGTGGCATATTTAGACAATATGGACGTTAACGATGATAATTTCGAATGTCTAAGTGAAGAAATGGAAGTGAACTTAGATGAATTGCAACCCGGGCCAACCTATCAATGCCAATTATTAAAGCCTGCGGAAAAAATATAGAGGTCGGATCGAATAGAAAATATAGTTTCGATATAACGAAAGCTGATAGAATATTCGATATTTTACTAAAAGATAAGCAAATTACACTTCCGGAAAATCATAAAATTCCTCCTTTTGAACAAAGAAAGGGGAAAAAATTTTGTAAGTATCACAACATGTATGCATGGTCACTAGATTAACAATTGTGTACGTTTCAGGGACATGATCGAGAAAGCGATTACTAAGGGTCTCTTGGCTTTCGAGGAGAAGGAAATGAAAATTGATACTGATCCATTCGTTGCACAAGCAGGATATGTGGAACCTCTCCCTATGGGGATCAAGGTGCTTGAAATCGATATGGTTGACCTGGTTGTGAATGAAGAGGAAGTTTTCGAACCCATTACGGATGAAAAACTAGAAGAGCTCTTAGATGAGTTCGTGAAAGAGCAGGAACCCATTTATCTGAAAGAGGGGGACAGTTTGCTCGATTTCCTTTCGAGGAAGAAAGATGGTGATCGGGAAGTTATGCTTTGTCCGAGATGTAGTGCTATGTTTGACAGATCAGCAGCTAAGGCTTTCGAGGAGTCTGAAATTATGAAGAATTATAAAGTTGAGAAGGCTCGAGGAAAGTCGAAAGTGAACATTGGCATAGTGATGCGCCAAGTTCATATGCCACAAGGCAATGCTCCTATGGCTCCCATCGGAAAGATGGAGATGTATAACTCTTCCCGAGTTGGTAATACATACCTGCCAAATGCGCATGTTTCCATTAGGAAGTGGACTTCTCCACAAAGGCCCAATTTTGGAGTGGGTCGAGGAAAGCAAATTGTGAACTACTCGAAAAACCCATTTTCTAGAGGACCCAGATTTGGGTCAAACATGCAAGGAGGTTCTAGAAGAGGAATTAAATATCCTTTTAATGGCCTCACCAAGACTCAGTGGAGAAGGCAACAGAGAATGAGAAAGACAACTTTTGAGGGACGCAAAGGTAATCAATTTTCGATTCCTGTACCTTACGAAAGTGAGGCATCTAAGAAATTCGCAGAAGATGAGGAAGATTTGATTGCGGATTGTTTTGAAAGTGGTTTCGAGGACTCTCTCGAAGATATTTGTGGAGTGGTATCAATCTTGCCTTCTGAATACGCTAAAGCAATGGAATCTGTGAATGAGCAGGAAGACATACACCGTGAAGATTTTTTCGGTGACCCCAACTATGAGTCAAAAATAGTATGGGTGAATAAAATATCTCGAGTCATTCCAAAGTTTAATTCAACAGTGTTCGATTCACCTACCCAAGAAATGAAGGACCATCTGAAACCTTTACTGTTGACTCTTATGATCGAAGGAGTTGAAATCAACAAAGTCTTAGTGGATGGAGGTGCTGCTATAAATATACTCCCACAGACGATGCTGAAACGTTTTGGGAAGACTTTGGCAGATCTGACACCTCACAATATCCTTATTTCTGATTATGCTGGAAAATCTTCTCAACCAAAAGGAATGATATTGCTAAATG